ATCTAATCCAACGAAGCTGGACTTTTCCACAATATCCAAAAGCCAAAACAGAAAAGAACACACAATGGAAACACTAAATCCCCCACAGGGTATGTATTACTGCTATATAAAACAGTGTTTTCCACCGAAAATAAAATTCACGAGATACACCTCTAGCTGTTAACACGACTTTTTCCCTTTTCTTTCTTTTTTGTCCAACCCCTCCCTCGTTCTTGACCTTCCGCGGAAACAAGCAGTAGTACTCACACAAATCGTCAAAATATCCCTAATTCCAGCAGGAAAGAAACCTATGCGAACTAACTCATCAGAACATTATCGTCCCATTGAGGTAGGAAAATGGGGCCTAGCAACGATTTAAATGCATTCAAGGAAAGAAACGAGTTTAATAATGACGAAAACAATTTTCCCAAACTCGGCTCCATTGTTTTGGATTTGAGCATTAGTTTACGATTCGGTATTTACTATTCAAAATTATCATTTAATAGGTACGCCTATATAAGCTGTCTTTGTTTTGCGGAATCGATAAATTCTATTTAGCCACACTGCCGGCAAGAAATAACTATAAAACCCGCGGTAAAACATCTGGGTTTGATTTGTAATTTTTAAGCAATAAAATGGATAGATAAGTGGCGGCCAAAAGAAACAGAGTTTTTTTTCTTTTTCTTTGAAGGAATTGATTTAAAATTACTGAAAGACTAAATTAATCATTAAAATTATAACACAACATATTCACAAGGCACACAATATCTCATTATTTATTTAGTTCTCCCAGTTAATCATAATTGAAACCGTTACAAATTAGTAACGAAACTACTGTTTCTAGGGTTCACAAACAAAGTTAATCTTCCTGGCGTTGCTTATTACAAAAACTTAATTAAAGAACTAAAAGACAACAATATCGAACCCCTAAGAACTCTATATCACTGGGATCTACCTCAGCCGTTACAAGATATCGGCGGTTAGCCTAGTGACTTCATAATAGATGCTTACGCGGACTATGCAAGGCTATGCTTCGAACTATTCGGTGACGTATTAGTTGACTTTTAACGAGCCCAAGCAGTATTGTTTAGCCAGGTATGGCACAGGTGGATCTGTACTGTGGATCTGGAATACCATAATATTCTTAAAGCTCATGCCAAAGTCTGGCATATTAATGATGAAGAATTTAGATCCTTCCAGCAAGGTATGTATGTATTGTATACAGGGTGTCCGGAAATGACGAGCAAAAAATTCAGGGGATAATTNGTCAGGTCGTCGGCGTATAAGTATATGTTGGTGTTGGGGGGATGTGGGATGTCGGAGTTGTAAATGGTGTATAGGTGTGGGGACAGGACGGTGCCCTGGGGGACACCGGCCTCCATGGGACGGGTGGTGGAAAGGGAATCTTGGATTTGGATGCGGAATTTTCGGTGGTGTAGGTAGGATTTTATGAGTTTGGTAAAGGATATGGGATATTGGTTGGTGAGCATTTTCATCAGTAGGCCTTCATGCCAAACCGTATCGAAGGCCTTTGCGACGTCCAGGAAGACAGCACCATTGTACTGTCCCCTGTTGAAGGCCGCCGTGATGTGCTCGGTAAGGCGAAGGATTTGGAGTTCAGTGGAGTGATTGGGTCGGAAGGCGAACTACTCGTCTGCAATAACTCGCAGTTCTTGGGAGTGGGCTTTTAGGCGGGTTAGGATGATTTTTTCTACCACTTTGCTCATAGCCGGGAGCAGGCTAATGGGCCGGTAGTTGGATGGGATGGTGTGATCTTTGTTGGGTTTTGGGATAAGGATTATGTTTGCTGTTTTCCAGCGGGTAGGGAAGTGTCTTAGTCTGAGTGTCGCGTTTGTTATGTTTAGTAGGGCCATGAGGCCCTTGTGTGGTAGTCGTTTAAGTGTCGTGTTATGTATATTGTCGGGTCCGGGGGCTTTTCTGTTTTTAAGTCTGCGTATTGTCAGTCTTAGTTCGTCAGGTGTTGCGGGGGGGATTATGTCATTGTCTGGCTCTCTGTCGACGCGTCGGGCCGCGCGCTCAGCCACTAACTCGAATTCCTCGTCTTCGTCGGGCAGCTGAGGCAGTCTACACTGCAGTTCCAGGCTATCGGCGAAAGCCTCGGCCTTTTCCTGGTTCGTGTAAACCACCCCCACACTACCGTGGATTGGAGGAATTTTACGGCGAGCGGTCTGTCGCAGGGCCCTCTGCGTTTTCCAGAGGCTGTTGTCTTGTGGATCCAGCGACTCCAGGTGCCTAGCCCAGTTATCCTGGGCCAGTTCATCCAGAGCCGCCTTCACCCGTCTGTTAAGTACGTTTAAGTCATGTCTGTGTCGGGGGAGTCGGGTGCGGGTGGCAAGCCGTTTCGCACGTCGTCTGTCACGTATTAAGTTTTTTATGTCATCGGGGAGGGTGCCCCGGGGGTTTGTCAGTCGGGGGACAATAGTCTCCGTCGTAGTCTGAGTCAGGGCGTTTTTAATGTCAGTCTCAAGGGAGAGGATTGCCGCCTCCAGATCATGGGTGGTTTCGATGACTGGGAGCGCCATGTTTCCTTGCATTACTGTTCGGAAACGCTCCCAGTCAGTGAACCTCCTCGTGAAGGTGCCTTCATATCTCTGTCTTCGCCCCAGATCCAGAAATATTGGATTGTGGGCGGAAGACCCTTCGTATTGGGTGGATATTTGGGCATTTAACGGTATAGATTTTAAGAGGGCAATGTCGATAACGTCGGGGCGTCCTACGGGTCCGTAATGTGTCGGTTCTGTCGGTCCGAGTATAGTCAAGTCGTCGTGTCTGTCTTGGTAATTCAGCAGGACGCGACCTCTTGTGGTCGTCGTCCCGCTGTGCCATATGGGGGACTTCGCGTTGAAGTCCCCGATGGCAATTGTCTGGGGCCAGGAAAGGATTTTGTCTAAGTCATTGTCAAGTAGTGGTAGTCTGGGTGGGTGGTAACAGGACACCACCGCAACGTCTCCATGCCGTAGCGATCTCACCGCTATCGCCACGGCCTCTGTGTTTTGAGTTTGGAGCCGCTGCAGCGGATAGTGGTCGATGCACTTCTTTACTATGAGTGCAACACCACCCCCGTTACGGTTTCTGTCATGTCTGTATATGTCATAGTCAGGGATGGAGGTACGGGATGCCTCGCTGAGGTAGGTCTCCTGGACAGCCATAACGTCTATGTTTAGACGGTTCAAGATGTCCACGAGTTCCGTTTTTTTGGCCCGGAACCCGTCAAGGTTCCAGGACGAAATTCTCAGCGAGGAGGGTTGGGAGGGCCGACGAGCCATTAGAAGTCGAATAATTTTTGCATATTCGACACCATGGTCGTCAGCTGGACGCAGAAGTCCTGAAGACGCTTTGTTGCGTCAATCAGGGCCGCCGCGCCCGGTTGGGAGGGTGTCGTGTCTGTGTGTGCGTGTGGTGAGGTGTTGTGTTTTTGTTTTTGTGTGTTTTGTGTTTTTCTGGTCATGTCAGCGTATGTGCGTCCTGGGGTTGTGTTTGGGGTGGGTAGGAGGGGCTGTCTGTGTGTTTGTGTAGTGTTTTGTGTCGTGTGTGTGTCTGTGTTTTGTGTTTTTGTGTTTTTAGCTTTGGGGTACTGAGGGCACCCCATATAGCTGGCGGGGTGTGGCCCGGCGCAATTTGCACACCTGGCAGGCGTGTCTTTGGTTTTTTGGCAATCGTGTGTGCTGTGGCTTTCGCCGCATTTTACGCACTTTGGCTCCGCTGTGCAGCGAGACTGGCCGTGGCCGAATCTCTGGCAGCGGTGGCACTGTGTGGCAACCCGCTGCTTTCGCTGCAGCTCTACTCGAACTACAAGCGAGCAGCACCGGGTTATCTTCAAGATGTCCTCCTGGTCCGGTGGGGCCTGAACTAGGACCAGGGGCATTTCTTGTTTATTTTGCCTGCTCGCCATGCGGTGCACTATTGCGCCGGGGAACCCTTGTCGTGCGAGGTTGAGTTGGACCTCACTTAGTGGAACGCCCGCGGGTATTCCACGTATCACCACCCTCAGCGTTTTTTCTTCGCTGAGGGTGAAGGTGTGGTACTCCTCGCCTCTGTCCACGAGTGTTCTTGTGAGCTGTCTGTGGTCTGTGGGTGTTGCGGGGTAGATGGCTACCCCGTCTTTCGTGAGCTTGGCTTTAGTGTAGTCGATTTTTTGTGTGTTTAATAGTTGACTGATTTGTGTCCAGCGCTCTTGCTTACGCAAGATTACTGGGGGGATTTTTTGTTGTGTGCTAGTGGTCTGTTTTGGTGTATTTGTTGTGTTTTGTTTCGTGTTTGTGGTCTGTTTCTGTGTTTTTTGTTGGGTACTGGTGGATGGTTGGGGGGTGTGTGGGCGTGTGTTTGTGTGTGTAGTGTTTAGTGTTTTTTGGTCTGGTTTTTTGTGTTGGGGGGCTTCGTCCTCGCTCGAGGACTCTGTCAAGTCCTTTTTGCGCTTGTCTGTACGTGAGGGGGTGGGTGTGGGTGTGTGTGTATTGCGTGCATTTTGTGTATTGTCGTGTGTTTGTTTGTTTAGTAGTTTATCTAATTTGTCGTGTAGTCGTAGTGTGTTTTCGTCAGATTGTTTTAGCGTTATTTGCATGTCGGCAATTTGTTTTGTCAATGTCTGTATTTGTAGGCTTTGTCTGTCGTTTTGTTCTGTCAATTTGCGTATTTGTCGTCTCAGTGTCTTATTTTCGTGTTTTTGTTGCTGCAATTTGTCATATAAGTCAGCTTTTGTCGTGGTGTTTGGTGAGTCTGAGGAGGTGGTGGAGGCCCTTGAAGAGGACCTCTCACTGGTCGCGTCGTCGTCCATGTCGTGGTCAGAGTCCGTCATGTTAGTCTTGGTGTGTGTGTGTTTGGGTGTGTGTGTGTTTGTGTGCATGTATTTATCGCGTTAGGGGTTCCCCTTACGGGGGCGTACGTGATGTTTTGTGTTTTTTGTCTGTCAGTTATGTCGTTTGTCTTAGTCACAATAATGGTGAAAATAAATGGTGCACAATAAAATAAAATTCACTTAAGAAAATATAAAGGGACTTTACCCGTTTTAACCGGGCTGGTGTGTGGGGCTTCCACTTCACGTTCACTCGTCGCTACTTCACTGCACAAATACGTCCGCACAGGTCGGCTGCTCACTCGGAACTGATGGATATAAGTTCAAGACTTTATCTCTTGGATCATATAAATTTTTAGAGTATTTTTAACTTTCTCTTTCAAAATATCTCATAGAAATAATTACATGGAGTCCCTGTATATAAGAGAAGTATAATTGGAATCAGAAAAAAATCAGGCGATTCTAGAGAATAATGAATATATGCAACATTAAATTGTTCTTTCAGCGTTAAAGTTGTCTTCTATACAATTCTTTGAGATCGCACAAATTTCTTGAAACTACGAAATTCGCAATATAATGGTCATATCAACTTATTTCGAAATCTCACCCGTTTTCGAGATACAAGGTGTTTATAGATAAAAAAAAAATAATTTTCTGTAAATACCTTTTGAAATAATAGAGGTATTTGAACTAGATTTAGTGTACGTTATACTGGCTCGAGTTTCCATAAAATATTGTAATATCAAGGCTTTTGCGCAACCAGTGGCGGAGATATGGGAAACTCATTCGACTATTTTATATATAAAAAAAATAGTACGGTCCTGTGCAAAATAATACTTGATTATATTTATTTTCTGAGAAAGCATGCTAATGAGAACAAAAAATACCTTTTACATTTTATCGATATCTGTATCTGTTTTACGGCAAATCGGATTTATCTTTTTCCTTTCAAATTAGCCAGATACTGTGCGCTAATGGATTTTTTAAATTCCAGTCAGAAATATTTCAGCTAGTTTCAACTAATTTAAACAAAAAATAAAGTAGCATCCTTCGAATAAATAAGATTCTTATTTGATTATTACAAGAACTTCAAGAGAATCATTAATTTAATAACACCGTTGAATAATATTTAAAGCAAAAGTAAATGTAGGAAACAACTTACTTACTACTACTTACTTTTTTAAATAGAAATAGGTGTTTTAAGGATTAAATTGCACTGTTTAAAGATAATTCGTAAAAAGTCAACAGTCTGTTGAATTTAAATGCTACAAGATTAACAGTATTTAATTTTTCTAAGGAATAATTTTATATTTCTCGTAATAAATAGTTTAACTCTCTTTAAAAAAAAATACACAAACCAGATAAAGTAATATCTGAACAACACATTTATCATAATTGTTGTTTGATTAAATCTCTACAAGGAGGTATAAGAGCTAATTTAAAAACATTTTGATATACAAGTTATCCCAAAAATAAGTGCTAAAATAACCTCATTTTTAACTCGTGAAAAACAGCTTTTGTATTATATTTTCTAAAACCTTTAAGATAATATAGTTTGAAATTTCTGGTGGTTAGGGCTTAACAACTAAGTCGTTCCTGAATGCACATGCGGCCTACTGAACAATAATGTACCACTGCTCCGTGCTATTATTATTATTATCGTCGAGCTTCTTACACTTGACAATGAGTCGAAGGAAAAGTTTTAAGATAGTGAATCAGTACATAAAACATTCGCGTATTTTACTTAGATTCTTTTTTAATCCAGCCCTTTACTGTTATTTTAATGTGTAAAATATACCGGAGTAACGTATACGATTTCGGAAAAAATTACTAAACAAAAGTTGTTGCATTTGATGTGTTATGTGGTTAAAATTTTGGCACCTACTTTTGGGATATCCTATACAGATACAAGTATTTAGTCCACGTTTGTAAATAAACGTATTATGTTTATTTTACATAAAAATTTTAACACTTTGTCTTAGAAAGAAACAAGTCTACTCATATTTATACAACTTGTAGAAGGAATATGTTTCTTTAGTTTAACGTTCTATTGGGACACCCTATATACTCTAGTCATTTATTATCTTAAGAATTTTTAGTTTGAAGTGTATTACTTATCGCTATGATAAATAGTTTTTCAACTTAATATATTTAAGTGATTTAAAAAAAATTAAATGTGTAAGTAGTAGTGATACAAACGTCATGTCATTGGTAGCTATAATATCTACTATATTGGCGTTGCTAAATGTAGCAGTAAGTTTTAAGCAAATTTATTTAGAAAATAATATTGTATACTGATTACAAGAATGTCTTAAAAACAATTTCGGGCAAGATGAAATTTTTAGCCATTACTGCTAGACTACTATGTACTTTTCGTGTCTTTAATATCACAGGCCGACAAGATTTTAACCCAACAACACGAATATACTTTCCCAAAGGATTCTGGTGCGCTGAGTTCCAATCCGGTCCAAATTTTTCAGTTAGCTCTGGTTTTCGAGATATCCTAAACTAAAAGGCTTAGGGTTTTTGAGCTGAGGGTTTATGAGTTCGGGATTCAGCGTATTAGCCTGTTTTGCGTGTATTTTCAGATTGATATAATGCGTAAAATATCGGCCATATATCGAATTTTTAGGCATTTTTTAAAGTTTATTGCAAAATTTGGTATGATAGAGCATTTTGGAGTTCAGATTCACGATCAGACCAAAAACATGTAAGATCCCTACCGGTGCCGACGAATTTAGGTTTGTGGTACTGTGGTGTTAGTACTACTAAATTTCAACATGCGATTTCTCAGACGAAAAATAATATCCAAGTGCATTTTAAAGAGTAAGTATAGTACTTAATTTAAGACCTCATTAATGGTTATAGCAAAAAAATTACCTATCCATATATCATAACCTCAAATATGTCAAAAAAAATTTTGGCATTTTAGGTTGGGATATCTCGAAAACCAGAGCCAATTGAGAAATTTGGACCCCGGATTCGAATTCAGCGCACCAAAATCCTTCGGAAAAGTGTATTTTGGTTTGTGGGTTAGAGAGTTGGCCAAATTTTGTCAGCCTCTGTATTTCTAACTATCATTATAGAATTCAGAAGTCGTAGTAGAACTGGCAAATGGGCAAATACGTGGTCGTATTGAAACTACCTACAACAATGTAACATTCTATGCCTTTCAAGAGATTCCATTTGCTAAACCACCTTTGGGGGATTTACGATTTATGGTAAGTAAAATTTTGAAGTATCCTCCATCCTCGTCGTCATCACTGTCATCGGCCTGGCTATGGCTATCGCCATCACTATCCCTTTTACCGTCACCGTCATCACCATCATCATCATGATCATCATCATCATCATCATCATTGTAACACTGAAAATATTTGCAATATATCGAATATAAAACACGAATTTATATTTTAGGCTCCTCAACCTGTAGACGATTGGGAAGGCATTCTAGACTGCACAAAGGAAACCAAAATATGCAGGCAAATAAGTAAAAATGATCCCATGGAAAACGAAGATTGTTTATATGTGAACGTTTATAGCCCTGTGGTAAGTACACAAAAATATATATGTTGCTCCAGATACATTACTTTTAATGCTACAAAGACAAATTTTACTTTGGCCATTCACTACTCCAATTCTGAATCTTACAAAATCTGTATCTAAGGGTTACTGTTTATAGTAACTTTATTGTAGAAGCCTGGTACCGACCCCGTTTTACCGGTCATGTATAACATATATGGGGGCGGCTTTAATCATGGCAGTAACAGATTTGCTGACTCGGGACCTCACTATTTTATGGAACAGGGAGTTATCATCGTTACTGTCAATTATCGAACTGGACCTTTAGGTAAACAAAAATACCACATTTGTTAACAACAGATACTTTAATACGCGATGAAAAAAATAATATATTTGTTCGTAGAGATAAATTATTTATATTTTCCATTTAATTAAAAGGCAATTTAAACTTCATGATAAAGTTTATTGTTCTTCTACTCAATTTTATCATTTTTATCAGTTCATTGCTTGATTGCTAAATTATTGTTAGGTTTCTTATCTACTGAAGATGCAGTGATCCCAGGAAATAACGGATTGAGAGATCAGAACTTCGGCCTCCAGTGGATTCAAAATAATATCCATCTGTTTGGAGGGGATCCTAAGAAAGTAACCATTTTTGGTCAAAGTGCCGGTGGCGCATCAGTTACTTACCAAATCCTCAGTAAACAGTCTAAGGGTGAGTTTTAAGTTATTTTTACTAATCTAAACCTTATTACATACTCATGCAGAAAAGTATATAATTTTTACTCGCAGACAATAAACAAAAATATACAGGGTGTGGCATGTATAATCTATCAAAATTAAACTACAGCTTCCTGATGATATTTGTAATAGAAAATTATACGAAAAAGTTCTATCTTCGTATTTTTTTCTGTAAATTAAATCTCATTTATTCAACGAAAATGAAGGCCGACCATGTGTTATTTATTAAAAATTTTGGAAATGATTTTGTGCGACCCGAAATGCAACCTTATAATTTAAGTCGGTATAATCCAATACTAGTAATACTAAAACAACTCTCAACACTTAATTATTAAAAATATTAAGCATCGTCCATCGACCCATTAGTGTTAAAAAGTGAAAGATTCCAGACAAATTTCTTTATTTTTTAATTCCACGATAGTAACAGTGTAATTTTTATAAAGAAGTAAATAATAAAAATAGCGTGCCGATTGCATTAAAAATGAGATTCTTATCTCTTACTTTACTTAATTTTTTAGTTTGTGTACAACTAGTTTTACAATGAACCGAGAAAACAATACATTTACTATTTACGAACGTGTCGATATGGTGTTAGTGTATGGTGCAGCCGGAGAAAATGTGCTCGCGGCGACTAGGTTGTACAGGGAACGATGGCCACAACGTTATCCCCCATATGCAAATACAATCCTACAGTGCGTTCAGCGGCTGCGAGATACGGGAAGAGGAGAAGGACATGGTCAGCAAGTGAACCTTACTGTTGAAGATACAGTGTTGGAAAATCTTGACGAAGACTCTACAATTAGTACTCGACGCCTCGCACAACAAGTAGGAACCTCATCTCGTACCGTACATCGCATCTTAAGGCGCCAGCTGTTGCACCCTTATCATCTGCAACCAGTTCAACAGATTTTACCCCCGGGACTGTGATCAACGAATGCGTTTTTGCAAATGGTTTTTAGACTTTCCTGTTTATGTTTGTGTAACAGATGAGGCGACATTTACCCGTGATCCATAATATGCACATATGGACCGATGAAAATTCTCACGCGATTCTCAGTAAATGTTTGGGCTTCATAGTAGGCGATGTACTTGTGGGTCCCTATTTCTTTGAAGGACAACTAACCAACGTATGCTAACTTTTTTGAGAACCGGTTGCCTGAATTATCGGACGATGTGGCGTTACAAGTTCGGGCACGCATGTTTTACCTTCAAGATGGGGCTCCTCCACAAAGTAGGTACTCGAGAAGTAACAGCACTTTTGAATGAAATGTTTCCGCAGCGATGGATTGGACGCTTTGGTCCTGTGCCGTGCTAGTTTGTTTAGTGCACGCAGTTGGCAACTACAGATGCTTACGGATGTGGTTTTATTTGCGAACTCTTGCAGTAACAACAATGCATTTAAGAAAGTAATTACTATTAATCATTATAATAAGAAAATCTCAGGTTTTTAAAAATATTTTTTCTTAGTTTGCACTTCTGCAATGAAAAATTCCCCAAAAATTGCGTAATTGAAAAGCTGCTATTAGCTGCTAAAAATGCTCATTTCCTTTGAATTTGTAATCTGAATTTTTTTACTACACATTTACTTTTTATATTACATTTCAACTTTTATTTAACCTTCCAATAGAATAGAATTACTTCTATCTTTTTAGTTGGATTTACATACATTGCTAGTATAACTGTATACAGGGTGATCCAATTAAAACTTTCCACCAGGAAAATATCTTTAATTTTTATAGATTATACACGCCACATCCTGTATTTATAATATCAATAGTAGTTTCAGAAGCATGCCAAATATTACCTGGACATAAAGTAAAGTTTAATTGGAAAGAAGTGAAAGTAATTTGTTATTAGATTCAAGATGCATGTTTAAAATAAGATTTTGTAGGGCAGTGAAGTAGGTAGGAGCTAAAATTTATATTTGACAAAAATGTCTGTAATATTAAATTTTAAAGAGAAAACTTTACGTTTATAGACAGAAGAATGAATTGGTCCCATGTTATAAAATGTTATAGAGTTTTATAATTTATCAAATACATTAAAGATGAAGGAAGAATATGAAGGAATATAAAACGTTATAGATACCATTATATTACTTCGTAATTGAAAAGCAAAAATATTAGCTGCTAAAAATGCTCATTTCCTTTGAATTTGTAATCTGAATTTTTTATTACACATTTACTTTTTATATCACATTTTCAACTTTTATTTAACCTTCCAATAGAATAGAATTACTTATATCTTTTTAGTTGGATTTACATAAATTGCTAGTATAACTGTATACAGGGTGTTCCAATTAAAACTTTCCACCTGGAAAATATCTTAATTAAAAAAAAAACACGAAACATGTCGATTTTCTTCTCAAGGGAGACACATGATGGTGTAAGTGGTGTCTTGACTTTAAATGACACCCTATATTGAGTGACACCTTAAAGCTTATTCAATGTTGCTTACGACGACATACGACTTTTTAAATTTTGGTTTGGATATGACAATAAAATCATCACTTAAATAATACAATAATAAAATATTTGCTTCACTTCCGAACATTTCGAAGCATTTCGGGCGTTATCTGACGACATTCTTCAACAATTTCTCTATAAAAAAATTTGTTTTGATTTTTCGTTTATCTGTGGATACAAAAACTTCATACTCTATCAGCTTAAATTTTTTACCTGTTTTACAATATTGTCTCGTCTTGTCTTGTCGAGACAATATTCCGTAAAATCAACACCAAGGCGACTGAATTCCAATTCGTGAAAAGGTTTATACAACTGCTGAAAAAATAGAAATAATTAGTTTGTTCTACAAGAATACTGACTATGCACGGCAGGCAGCTCAGATTTGTAATAATCGTCATTCTGACAAAAACACTTCTCATCGGTACGTCCTGGATTTAGTGCATAAATTTTCGGAAACTGGATTGGTTGTAAACATAAAGCGTCAACGTGAATAGGTCGTACGTAATCAGGATAATCATGTAGATGTCCTGGGACACATCGCAATGGAATCAAATTTGAGTCTCAAGAAACTTGCAAGTACTTCAGGAATTTCTGTACCTAGTTTCCACCGAAACTTAAAAATTCATAAGTATCACTCGTCCAAAATTAATTTGGTACAAGAAATTAATGAAGACTGTCCTGATCGCCGCTTGCAGTTCTGTAAGAAATGAGTGAACGTGCTCGAAGGAATCCAAATTTTTTATACTCAATCTGTTTTTCCGTTTAATGTACGTTCCAATTGGATGATCGAGTCAACCGTCATAATTGTCGCTACTGGAGTGATGAAAATCAAGGCAATTTTTATGAAACTCATACGCAGCATCCGAGGAAATTGAATGTTTCGGCAAGCACACTGGGAGACCACCTCACAGGGCTTTTCTTCATACCGGGAAATCTGGATGGAAACATGTATCTGAATCTACTGGAAACTAATATCTATCCGATGATTGTGGAAGTACTGGATAAGGATAACACTTTGCCAGAAGAGTATGTCTGGTTTCAGCAGGATGGTGCTATACTACAGTATCCTGTAACTGTGCGTGATTTTCTTAATCAGAACTTTCCAAATCACTGATTAGGATGCATAGGTTCAATTGAGTGGCCTCCCAAATCGACAGGTCTGACGCCCTTAAACTTTTTTCTATGAACACACTTAAAGTCGAAAAATACAACACGACCGAACTCACTCGAGGAGATTCGTCGGCGAATTGTTGAAGAATGTCATCAGATAACGTCCCAAATTCTTCGAAATATTCATTCGGAAGTGGAGTAAGATTTTATTATTGTATGGAAGCGGAGGGAAATCAATTTGAACATAAATAAAGTAACATATCCAAACCAAAATTTAAAAAGCCGTATGTCGTCGTGAGCAGAATTGAAGAAGCTTTAAAATGAGATGCCACTCAACATAGGGTGCCATTTAAAGTTTAAGATTATTTTACGCCCCTGCCTTAGGGGAGACGTGACTCAGCTTTCTTTGTTTTTTTTTTTAATTCTGATATTTTCTAGGTGAGAAGTTTTAATTGGAATGATAAACAATGAAAAACATATATTTTAAGACACATCAAAAATAGTAAGTAATATTTTGAATTTTTAGATCGTTAAGGTTACATTGTTTAGATTGTGTTAGATTGAGAGATTTTTTTGGAAAGTATGTTTTTTACTCTGTTTACTCAATTCTGTTTGCAGTAAAATTGTTACATAAACGAAATTTAAAATTGTAATTGCACTGTTTCTTTTAAAGGCTTGCTAAAAAACGATTGCTGCTAATTTCGTTTATCAGTGTTGAAAATAACTTTTAAACAATTTTTTATGCATTTACAAATTTAAATGCCTTTTTGTTGAAAACGGTTGGCTTTACAGGTATTAGCAAGGTATTGTGCAAAACCATACTTATCTTATCAACTTCGACGTCACCTGTTGTTTAGGTGTTGTATAACAATGAAAAAGTAATATTAACGGCTGGTAGAAGGAAGCACAAAAAACAGGCACTTAGGTAGGAAATTCTGGAAGGAAGCCTAAATAGTTGAAGATAGGCAGTGGAAGTGAGAACAGTGTGCAGATAGGTAGCAAGACGATCGGCGGGCAGTGTGACAAAGTAGTGTAAAATTAAGTGGTTAACCAGTATTAGTTAGCAGCTTTCATTGTTTTATGCTCAGGGGCGTATATTTTCCTAACGTATGATTGTTACAATTGTTATTAACGATTGCCCATTATTTATTACATATTAAAATATGTATATATTGTCGTGTCCGCCCAGATATTGCAAAACAAACTTCTTTGTTTCACATTTAATTTGTTTTATCATGAGTACGCTTATCTTTGATTTCTTGTGCTTACTTTATGTCATACGCATATAAGGGCCTTGTTGAATTCACTTACATTTTCGCCCGTGAGGAACGAATCTGAAAAAAAGAATAATTAAATACAAAAAAAGAATTGCTAACAGATCTTCCGAATCTCAACTATAGCTGGATTGCTTCCCGTATGGGACTCCAGTACCTTCCGGCTCTGCCGGCTAACTAACACCAAACCTCTTCAGTTTTACTTGGAAGTGTGTATGTCAGACTTGAGTGAGATGACATTTAGTGAGACAGTAAATAAGTTCAGTCTTAATTATCATTAGCAAAGGTTCTTAATTTATGCCTTTGGTTAGCGGTTGTTTTTGTATTTATATTTGGGTGGTAAGAGCAACGATCGTGGGTTTCTCTGCCATGCTCTTTCCCCGCAGGAGCTCTAGGTGAGCCTGGCACTCTCATTGATGTTAAATGGTTGTTAATGTTTTTGTTGTTCTTTCTATTTGTCACATGTTTAATTTGAATTGTATGTAAATAAAGGTTAGGTGTATTTACTCTGCTTTTGTTTTATATAATTAAACCATACATCCCCTCTACAAAGTTAGTAGCCAGTGCCTTCCGGTCAATTAAAAATGGATACACACAACGTAGGTAGTCCTTATGACGATCACATATTTTTGGCCACAACTACGTTTACTTATTTTTTGTCGATCGAACCTAGGGTTGTTATACTACATTATATCATTTTTAAGCAGAAAAATTGGGAGAAAAGATTTTTCCAGCCCAAAGTGAAACACACCGTGGCACAAAAAGTTTTGGCAGTATAAACCCTTCCTAATGGTCGCTTGAGGCGCCCTCTATAAGATACAACGAAATCGAAAGATATTAAAGAAAACGTTATTTATTTTTTCAACTTCAGCAAGGAAGCACTTTAGGCCAAAATTTTATATGAGTACCCCTACTAATTTTAAGTGTAAAGTTTGTAACTTTACTTTGTTATACCCTGTTTGTGAAAAAGTAGCAATATAGCAACAAAATACCAAAGTCCAAATTTCTTAAAATAAAGAGAAAAAGTAGAGGAAAAAATTATCGTTCGGCAAAGTTTTCCTAACGTCCTGCAATTTTTTAGGTTTATTCAGAGCAGCTATAGCCCAAAGCGGTTCAGCTTTAAACCCCTGGACTTACCAAAGGCACGCCAAAAACATAGCTTACCAATTTGCTGCCCAATTTGATCCAACTTTCACCACGAACCAAACCTCACAGGAGTTATTGGAATTGCTGCAAAATGTACCAGAAGATCAACTGGCTGAGGTCTCTTCAAGCTTTAGTCCGGTAAGTCATAAGGAAACATTTTCATCAGAGAGATTTCCTATTCCAAATTATTAACAAGATATTTGAAAGATTATCCAGATAACGTGCATCACAAAAATAAATTGTAGGAAGCTAAGTATGTGTTTTCTAAAGTGAGTTCTTTTTGACAGGAAGGAATAAGTTCCGAACAAATCATTCAAGGTTACTATTGGGCACCTGTTATTGAACCTACACATCAACAAGCTTTCTTAACGGATAGGCAGTATGGAATTCTGGAATCGGGAGATTTTAACAAAGTACCTTTGATTATTGGTATTTGTTCAGAAGAATCTCTACAACGGGCTTTAGGTAAAAAATACAAATAATGTTTCATTAAATCAATAATAATAACAATAGTATATAAACGGAGATGGAGGTTTCCTTTTAATTATGTTATTAAAAAAAAAAACAATTTTAATAGGTAACCCAAATATTGACATTTAAACGATCATTTAAAGTCTGTGATCATTAGCTCATTATAAGTCACTACAGCTTGATCGGCATCACCTTGTCCATGAGATGCATAGATCAAGAAGAGAGTCCGCAGTATAAGTGACAGAGACAGGAAAAATAGTACATTTGTGTCTCTTGACTCTTTTTAGTGTCTCGCTTCGTTTTTGAGAATCTTGGCACGTTTCTGAACTCCATAAGGAAAAATTAACAATGCTTGAAATATTATTTGATGCCTAATATTTAATGGAACTTCTTCTAGGAGCCCTGGAAGTAGTAGTCATTTCCATTCTAGAATGGACAAGAACGTAAATTCCTGTATTTTTAACACTAATTACTTTGTGACATGTTAGAGACTATATCATTTCATGTTTTGTATAAATTGTTTGGATAAATTCCTAAGCATTGTTATTTTTCCTTATGGAGATCAGAGACGTGCCAAAGTTCTCGAAGACAAAGCACTTTCGGACCCATGTTCATATGAACTTCTTTATATGCGCTAACTTAACTAGTTTTATTATTTATATAATTTTTCAGATCAAGAATCATTCCAAAAGAATGTGGCCAATTATGAGAAAGACATTCAAAATTTGGTTAATGAAGACTTACATTTGACAAACGAAGTGGCTTTAACTCGGGTCGGGGAACAAATAAGGAAAATATATACGGACGGGGAGCTTTCTTCCAATTTGTCAAGTGCTGTTAGGGTAAATATAACAGTGGCAGTCTTAAGGACAGTTGAAGCTTTAATATATTAAAAAGTTTTAATATATCAAATAAACTTTAAGTCAGTTTTATATTCAAGAAAGAGATATTAGTGATAAATCAGTAGTCTCTGTTTTATTACGATAAATACTACTTATTACTAAATTGAACGATCTGTATATGTTGTTTCCAAATAGAAAGAGTGTTTTTTTTTATCAAAGTAAATAAGGTGTCTCATTTAGAGATAGTTCTGGTAATATTAATAATATAAAACAGTTTCAAGTAAATGTTACACCAAATTAATTTGTTCACATTTTACAATATATCCTATTATACAGAGTGTTATATTCTTCTTACTTAACTTCATTTGTTTGAAAAAGACTTTCCATATTTTATTATTATTTATCGTTAAATTGAGTACTTTGTTAATCAAAACATTACTAAAACATCATTCTCTTTCCATTTCGGTGTTATTTGATGTATAAAAAAAATGGTATTTAGATCAACTTTTAACATATACACGTAATATCCGAAATTAAACATGGTTTTCACTATTCCCTCAAACATGAAAAAACTAAAATATTTTAAGTTGCTTACTGAATGCATATAGTCCAGTTGGTAGAGGTTCGGCCTGTGTCAAACCTTGATAACCCGGAGATAATTACACAGGCCTACTTTAAATGATGAGTACAATAACAGGCTAATTTGCTGACAAAGTATTTTATCAGGAAAAAAGTTATTAACAATTTAATAGTGATTTTTTTTGTAGTTTTCTTTAAATAACTCAGCGGGATGAAAAAACGGTATAAAACGTGAATTTTTTAAAATTGCTATAAAAATGTCAATTATGAACAAAAAGTAATAAAACTTTCGAAAACTATAGTTCAATATATATACAATAATGACGCTAAAGCCGAAAATCAGGAGAGCAAAACTTTTTGTTCTATAAGGTGTTATATATTCATCGGCATCTGAAACTCGAAACTTTGCCACATTTGTTCGAAGCTTTGCTGACACTTGAAATTTGGTACACACATAGTGTAAATATGCATAAACCAAAAGCAATTTGCAAAATTCAATTATCTTCATTTTTGCAGCTTTGGTAAGGTTTTATACGTCACCGTTTTTTTTTTAATTTTTGGAAAAATATGTATATTTATAAAATATTCCATCACGATAGATTAATCAGCACAATTACCTACAATTAAAAAAAAATAATTTTCGTCGTTTAGATTCTAAGCTACTTAACATTTTGCGCCTGTTAGCTGTAGTCGTAAATTATTCAACATATCAACATAAAACAAAATCGTACGTGTGGGGTAAACCTTTAACTTTTCATTTTCGAGCGCGAGCTCTTCGGCGCTTGTACACTATTAGAAATATGCAACAGTAAATTTAAACAATTATTTACTTAAAGTTAAAGGTTTGCCCCACACGTACGTTTTTGTTTTATGTTGACAAGTTAAATAATGTACGAGTATGGCTAACGGGCGCAAAATGTTAAGTAGCTTAGGATCTAAACGATGAAAATATATATTTTTTTAAATTGTAGGTAATTGTGCTGGCTAATCTACCGTAATCTACCGTAATGCGTATAAAACCTTACCAAAACTGCAAAAATGAAGATACTTGAATTTTGCAAATTGCTTTTGGTTTCTGCATATTTACACTATGTGTGTACCAAATTTCAAGTGTCGGCAAAACTTCAAACAAATTTGGCAAAGGTTCCAGTTTCAGATGACGATAGATGTATGAAACCTTATAAAACAAAAAGTTTTGCTCTTCTGATTTTCGGCTTTAGCGTCATTATTGTATATCTGTTGAACTATAGTTTTCGAAAGTTTTATCACTTTTTGTTTATAATTGACATTTTTACAGCAATTTTAAAAAATTGACGTTTTATACCGTTTTTTCATTCTCACGACTTTGTTATTGCAAATTCCATAATCGGACCACCGCCATTTTGTAGCTATTTTTATTACGAACAAAATTATGTCCTAAGCATTTTTTCGTACAAAGTCATCCCGCTGAGTTATTTAAAGAAAACTACTAAAACAAAATTGTTTCACGATTAAATTGTTAATAACTTTCTTTCCTGATAAAATACTTTGTCAGTAAATTAGCGTGTTATTGTACTCATCATTTAAAGTATTCCTGTGTAGTTATTTTCGAGTTAAGGAAATGCCACCAACAGTAACTTTTCGGCCTCTGCCGACTGGACTAATATGAAATAGAATTAATTACGAATCTCAGAATCTCTTACGGCTAGTTTCACAATCGTTGGTTATCTTTTTGATAAGGTAACCTTGACCCAAGGGTTAACTTGTGGTTAAACAATTCAACTGTTTCACAACAGCCATTACGTCTTCAAGTAAGTCAATCTGGGGTTAAGCTGATTTTTAGAATGTTGTTACAAATGTATTGCAGTAGACAAGTGACAAAATTCAGAAGAATAGGAAGAAATACCCTGTAGTGACATATTTTGTGACAGTTTTTAGTATCTGTCTACTTAATTTACGTATTATTTAGCATAATATACTGTGCTTTTTAACTTTTTAGCATGGAAGATAAGTGCAATACGAAGTGCAATAATAAGAATAATAATAATTCTCACGACTCTACTTGCTATTATATGGCTTTACCAACTCCACAGAAATCTGGAGTGTTTCTTAGAAAAGATCTATTGGCAAAGAAAATTGATGTCAAAAAATTTTCTACTGCACGTGGGTTATTCTAAATCTTGTGAAAAAGTCTTTGAGTCTATTCTTCAAAAAAATTTTACCTTTGAAAAGTTATGGACTTCTAACCTCCTCACCGCTTCTGTAAGCATTTACCACGTAATTTTCAAATTCCATTTATATTTTTAATATGTCAGTTACCTCTTTATAGGTTAACTTTAACTACAAATCTTCAGGTTAACTTACACTTAAGGTTCTGGTTATCTTTATCATGACATAACCAAGACATTGAAGTTAACCAGATGTTGTGAAAGAGCTCACTTGCAGTTAACGTTTGGTAAGAAATTAACTACAAGTTAACCACAGGTTGTGAAACTGGGTGTAAGTTTTTAATCACGGATGTTTAGATTTGTTAAGTATAACCCTGTATTTTTAATACAGGTGGTATATTTCTTTTGATTTGTGAGATGTACGCAGTTTTCCATATTTTTTGTTTGAAATCGGAACATAAATATTAGAAAATTTGTTGGAAGGTGCAACTAATTGTATTCTTCTCAAACAAGCCATTATTTTTTTGAAAATAGGATTACATTAATGATAAAATTATTAATAAAAAGAAAATAAACTATATAATTAAGAAAATACTAAAAAGATAATACTAATTATTTAGAATGTTTACCATTTTGCTCAGTATAAATACGATTCACAAAATTCTAGTTTGTACCTATGATAAATTATTGTGGAACGTCTCTGAAAGCTTGCTTTTTTCTATTTTAAGAATAACAAAGTTACATTTTGTTAGAGTGGGAGATCTAGCCAGTCAATTAAGGGACTTCATCCAATTTACTTGTGGATCAAATGTGGATTTAAAACATTATTTTTACTATTTTGCATTGGACACAGGACTACTAGGTGCCATTAAACATAATTAAATTATACATTTGATGTTTAATAAATGAATTACTATAGTTCGTATAGCCTATAAGCTCTTTAATACAGTTTTTTAAACTGAATTACCAGGGCGCGCAAGAATTTCAAAACTCTGCTCTTGCAATTAATCTATTTTATTCTGTTTCAGTTTTATTCTGATACTTCATTCACCAGAGCTATTCGACGCTATGCTGAGATACAGTCACAGTTTACAGACGTCTATTTCTATCAATTTTCGTATTTTGGTGAAATGTCCCGATTTACAGAAATAGATTTGCCAGGTAAGTAAAAATTAAAACTAATTTTAAATCAATTAAATGACATGGGTAGGCCTTGCATAAATAACGTCATAAGTTTACTTAATTTTCTATTAATCGAATTCACCCTGTAAACCTGTTAGTTATTACACACCCTGTAACATTGTCCTTAAGATATTTGCTCTTGAAGTAGAGAGTTGATCTACAGGGTGTTTCAGCTCGAGTGAAACTTTAACCACAAATAGAACTCACAATCAATAAATGACTGAGAATTACCTTATAAAGCAAGGGTCCAAGTCGCACCGTTTTCAGTGTACAGGGTCGTATTGGTCGGTTATTAAAATCATATTATTTACGAAATCTTTGGTACGCTTATAACAAAATTGATTCAAATTTGGTGTGAAGTTAACACCACATGTGCATTATGTATTGTAAAATTTACAAATTTTTCTAGGTCCGTGGCGTAGGAATGGGTAGTAAAGCAGGATATTTTTTTACTCCAGCTTCTACATCAATGACCTAATAATCATTTGGGATTAATTTTTAGCTTCCGTGGACAATTCTACATAAAAAAGGTATAGTTGTTGAAAATCGGTATAGTGTATCGTTGTACCGAAAATCTCAGTTGAATAGGAGAAAGACATGAATATTCATCCATTTTTTTTCAAACACTATATTTCAAATCTTAAAAATAAAATGACAGTTCCTGATGATAGATAAGTCTATTATTGCTTAGTTGTTTTTTCATGGCAATCGTTAGTACGGATAATGTAATGGACGCACAACGTAGATTTAAAATTAATATGTAGGTGTAATTTTTTAAAGAAATTATATCTATTTGAAACAAACGGACCGCTGAATGAACAAAGATATCTATAATTGCTTCAAAATGGTACAAATGAAATTTTAAAGGAAGTGCCATTGAATATGCTGTCCACTGCACTGTATCGCAACAAAGAAATGAGCTCAGAGGGGAATTCATCACATTACGAATGCAATAAATAATACACAATATATTTATAATTTACCAGTCGTTTCGCCGATGTAAAGACATATTATTTAATACCATTTTGAATTCTAAATTGATGCATGACATTATAATAATATTAATTTAAAATTTATTTCCTATTAAGAAATTAAATTTCTTATCAGAAGGGCGGTCTCCCATTCAACTGAGATTTTCGATAAAACGATAGACTATACGATTTTCAACAGGTATATCTTTTTTATGTAGAACTGTCCACGGAATCTAAAAATGAATCCCAAATGATTATTAGGTCATTGGTGTAGAAGTTGGGGGTAAAATAATCCCACTTTACTACCCATTCCTACACTGACAAAAATATGTAAATTTTACAGTAAATTATACACATGTCTAAATGTTAACACCACACCAAATTTGAATCAATTAGATATAAGCATACCAAAATCGTAATTAATATGATTTTAACTACCGACATATACGGCCCTGTACGGTGAAAACGGTGAGACTTAGACCCTTGCTTCATAAGGCAATTCTGAATTATTTATTGAGTTCTATTTGTGGTTAAAGTTTGATTTATTAAAGGGTCTCACCGGGTTTCCACGTGAAACCTGCACTGGCGTGTTTTTTAACAATGGTGTCCAGTGTGTTGCTTGTTGATAGAAATAACTTTTGACCCATTATCAGAGCTCTATCTATGCTCATTTTTTAAAAAAATGGGGTTGCAACCCTTTACTTCAAAATAATTTTTCTATGAAACTATGATAGATATTTGAATAAATCCAACGGCATATGAAAGCTACTGATAAGAATTATATTGCATATTTTTTTCATAGTTTTTCAACTATATAAACAGTGAGAAAAAAATAATTGAAAAAATAAAGGGTGTTTTTTTGTGGCTATTTCTCGAGATACACTAACCAAAAAAATCACGTATAATCAGTGAATCTTAAGCTACAATGCATAGCAGTTACATAGATCTGCGATGGGTGGATCATATTCAAAATAATCATTTTATGTTGCTAGGTACAGTATTGTAAAAAAAAAATTGTGTAATAGGAAACTTTGAACGTAAAGCCATGCAAGTTTTGTTGAAAGTGATCGGTATCTTGGCAGTCTAGATCATTATCTTAATGATTTCTCCCATTACTATGCATAAATCAATTGATATACTTATTGTAATGCTGTTAATTTCCAGATTACTAAACGCCTATAGTAAAAATCAAAATCTCGTGTCATAAGATTGTCTTTATTTTAGCTGTAATATATAAATTAGTATATTAGTATATTGTGACCAATCCAATAAATATTACTAAAATTAAAATGAAAACAGCATTTGTTTAAACTTTTCAGAAAATTTTATTTTGTATACATAGTCATTAATCTATTCTAATCCTCGTCACTATTTTCTTCTATAGTTGTAGTCACATTTGTGGTATCAAATATATGTGTTAAGATTTCAGCATGCCTAATAATTTTTGATTTATAACGGGCATAAGACAAGTAATAAATTAATGAGGCTACATGTGAGCAACAACCTATTGTTCTATTCCCATTGGCACAGTCACATGTGTATCTTCTTATACCCTTATAGTTATTCATGTTTAGTTCATATTCAATGAAACATTGATGTTTTGCTATTGATATGTCGGGAACAAACTTTTATCCTTAATATATTATAATTTTCTTTTAAGTACTCAATATTATCATTATTGTCACTGTCTATTAACTCAGCGAGGTAACATACCGCTTGCGACATTTGATATGTTCCTGTAAATAATATTTTAAGATCGTTTTCAGTTAACTCTGGAAAATCTATGAGGGATGTAGATGATAGTGTTGTAAAAGGTTTTTTGCGGCGACTAAGATTTTCTGTTTCACCTAGATCTTTTAGTGTATTTTTTTGTATTTCACGTTCTCTCATACAATTAATTATGGTATCAGCAAGTTCTAAATCTGAGTTCAACTTATCTTTTTATTTTTATATATAAATATCTTTATTTTTTTCTATAATATCTGTAAGTGTAATACGTCAGTTAAAACTTACACAAATATTGCAACTTGACAAAGATCTCTCACATCACTGTCGTGGTATATTCTAAAGTTCTAACAAGTATCAGTTCACAATACTGTACCTAGCAACATAAAATGATTATTTTGAATATGATCCACCCATCGCAGATCTATGTAACTGCTATGCATTGTAGCTTAAGACTCACTGATTATACGTGATTTTTTTGGTTAGTGTATCTCGAGAAATAGCCACAAAAAAC